TGACCCATGGGCTATTAGAGTTATATTTAAAATATTAGATAGAAAACCCTGTTTTACCTTCCTTCATTTTAAGATTTATGACATCTTTAAAAGAATCTCAAGTGTGTCAAGTTAGATATTGAACACTCAACCTCCTCATAACCCCCTACTCTCAACATTCATTGAGGTAGAAAAAGGCAAACGATCTCCCACACTGTTAGTCTAAAGTAGTTTCACACAAGTTTGGGAAATACTTTGATAAGATTCAATGAAAATTTTTGGCCTTTAAATGGCCTGGCAACCTACAGATGCCACAAACCACTACTCCACTAACAGAGGCTAATGTGCTGAAAAAGAAACAGAAAAAACAAGAAAACTTGACCTGGTCTATGAAATTGATCCCTAATAATAAGGAACTTATTGACCCACTCATTAGTCATAACAGCAAAATACAAATTCAAAACTCAACAATGCCTCTCCTAAATGGTTGTGACAACAATCAGTTTATCTTCTCACAAACTCCAAGCTCCTCTTGCAGACTTGAAAAAGCTTCCAACTTGAAAGGCTTGTATATTATGTCTCTTTCACTATCACCACCATCACAAATTTAGACAACATCTTCACATATTTTTTGTGTTACACAAAAAATTAACACTATGAAATCAACACAATTAAAGAAACCCAGAAAAGCAACACCACTGAAACTTCTTAATATATTCCCGTTTCCCTCTTCCATATCTAACTCTTCGGAAAGTGTTTCAATGCTTATCTTAAGCTTTCTGTTGTCTCCATAGCTAACTTTATATATGAAATACAACTTCAACCTTCATCCATTTGAAAATCTTCAAATCTGTCCACCAATTCTTTCCATATGGCAGCAGCATTAGTTAGGAATCCCAAACTATTTGCTACTTCCTTGACAATGTTGAGAGTCCAAGATGCCACCATGTTGGTCCTTCCCAATAAACTAACATAGGCGAGTCCGTTGTCGATGTTGTATAACCCCCATTGATGATCCAACACTTGTTCTTGGCTGAAAGTGCAATATGCATGGACTTAGGCCATGTACTATAATCTTGGATCCAGGGTTTTTGAGAAACGAGTCACAAACYTGTGAGATCATTTTAACACGTATAATGGGTGTAAATCAGACTTGATTGTTCGCTCTTGGGTGGTTGTCATTTCCGAAATTCAGGATCTTTGCTATGAAACCTTGATTGAACTAAAGGGTAAATTAGTTTCCAAGAATTGTGGTACAAGTTGAATTGATTTATAAACAATTTGTAATACTAGAAATACTTAAATTGTATTTAAAAGACCTCTTAGGTAAAGGACATTAAGTAAAGAGTCTAGATGACGTGTCCATAACAGTTTCAGAAATATTGGACTCTCTACGACTGACACATCATAATAGAGGGTTTGCGAGGCCTTGTCAGTAATTTAGTTGCTTCTTATATAAGTGTATGATATGATATACAAAATGATATAGGGTGTTTAAGGTGTTCTCTGACGTTACTCAAAATGTTTGGCTGAAAGTTTTTGGGCTCTTATTTCAGGTTGAAAGAATATGCTTTAGAGTTCAGTTGATGTATTGTGTTTATATATGTAGCTTGATAAGTGCTATTCATATGAATCAGAAAGCCAAAGATGAGGCGACAGTTGTTATGGACCAACTTCAGGGAATCGAATCTGAAGTTAAAGCTGTTCACTCAATGACACAAAGGATGGTTTTAACTCAGAGTGAGATGGTATGTTATCATGTAGAGTTGTGCTATTTTTTCAAGACCTCTCTTTACTATAATATGATATATCAAAATCACAGGAGGAAGTGGTACTTAAGCGGTGTTGGCTTGCACGCTATTGGGGTTTAGCGGTGCGACATGGTAGGTTGAAAAACACAGCTCTTTTGTATAAACTTGTTTGTCAGTGAATTTCCTGTTTTCCCCCATGTGATGCAACATATGGTAGGTCAGAACAACACAACTCTTTTGTATAAGCTTGTTTGTCACTGTATTTACTTTTTCACCATTTTTAAATTTTTCGTTTGCAATTTGTGTCACTTATTAGCAAGAGTTTCAGGTGACTTCAGTTGTTCATTTTATCTTCAATTCTGTTTGAAGGTTCAGATGAGAACCTGTGAATCTCTCTGTGTGTGTGTATCACACATGTACACAGAGAGTGAAAGCTGTGAAAGTTCATCAGGAGGTTAAAATTATTGTGGTAAACTTGATACCAGAATAATTCTGTGGCCCTATCTCCATCAGATTTAAGTGTCTAGTTCAAGTTATCTATTGACCTTGGGTGTCCTAGCTTAAATGTTCCTGTCTGTGTGAGTTTCTTGAACATGTGGACCTTATGTCTATGAAATGTGTCATTTTCTAGGTATTTGCGCTGATATTGCAGTGTCTAAGCATGAGTACTGGTCATCTTTGGCACCCCTTCTCTTCGAAGTTGTGGTTTCAGCCGGGCAGAAGGCAAAGGAAGAATGCTGGGAACAAGGCTAGTAACTGCTCATTAGCCCTTACTGAGAATTCTCAATGTTGGGTGCTTACATTGTTGTGGTGGAGTGGTTATCTCATAAATTATTGTGTAAGTTGATGTCTCATCATGCATTTGTCCTTTCACATTATCCAACAGGTGATGGCAATCTGGAAAGGAGGAGTAAACTTGTCCAGGACTTGAATGATCTAACTAGTGAAGGGAATATCGAGAGTATGCTCTCTGTCGAAATGGGTTTGAAGGAGCTTGCTTGCTTGAAGGTTTTTTACTTTTATGAACAAATTATACAATGATGCATGATGATGGTTGCTATTAGTTTAATAAGTCTCGTTAAATCTCTTACTGTTATTTTATAGGTTGAAGATGGCATCGTGCTTGCACTGGCTCAACTGTGGCGTCTGAGCTCTGCTCGACAGACTATGTCAGGTAATCTCTGCCCAAGGTTCTGGCAAACTTTGAAGATAAGCTTATTGTTTGTGTAGTTGTTAGAAATCTTTTGAGTTCTCTTTTTACATTTATCTTCTATTTTCAGTAGATGTTTTCGAAGTCGGTCTTTAGCTGCTATGTTCCTTGACAGCTATTCCCAGTGTTAGATGTGGTCTCATCTCTCATGACTGTCCACTTTGCTAGATCATAGCTTTGGCTTATTTTGTAGTGTCTAAGTCACTGAATGTGCTTGTCATGTGGAACACCTCATTCTTTATCCCATCTGTATATTTTTCAAGTTACTTTTTTTTCCTTTACGTTAGTTTCTCTAAATGCTTAAAGGGATATCATTCAGTGCTTGAGGAGTTTTTGTTGATTGGAGATGACAAACACAGAGCCCTTGATATAAAGAAAGTAATGGTTCCAATTTGGAGCAATTATGACTTTTAGATTGTACTCAGCTGCTATAAATAGTGCCATCGATTGATATTGGTAGATCTATGTATTGTTCGTCATTCCCAAGTTTTTTCTCATGCCCTTCATTTTTTTTTTTCCTGTTGGCAAAGGTGGTGTTGTAAAACTTGTTTCTTTCTTGTGTTTATGGAAAACGAATTCATTGCAAATGAATTATGAGCTCTATGTATATTCATTCTGTCCCAGATCTAAGTAATGCTTATTCTTTTTGCTATATGCAGATGTCCTCAGGTGACCCAAAGTTTATGGAGGCATTTGGTAAGTGCATTTAATTTGATACTGTTTCATCAACCTTCAAAAATATGAGCTACTGTTTTTGGTATCAATAGTTGGCTGAACAGGAAATTTTCTTAACCCAACCAGTCTAAATGGATATTATTTTACATCAAGGTGGATATAATAAGAGATTATTATTAACCACAAGGATGGTGCCTGATTGGTTTGAGCTTGGCTCCAAAGGTCAAAAGTACCAGGAGGTCCCAGGTTCAAATCCAAGGAGGAATAAACATCTCCTTGTGGCCACGGAAAGATGCTTTAAGAGTTTGATTAGCAGCAATCCTTTTCTTTTCTTTATTTAAATATTTAGTAATCGGTGCACAAGAGATTACTGGAAATGCTCCATTAATTTCTCAAACCAACAATTAAAGAACTTAGTTTGCTTGTTATGGTCTAGTTTCTTCACATCTGAGTTAAGTAATAGCACATATGTTTATATGAATTACATCGGTCGTTATACAATTTTTCCCTGGAGCTTTCATGGTAAGATAGTAGTCTCCTTCAGATGATGGTATTTTAGGCATGAAAGTACTGTCACTGCCTCTGTTTTTCCTATCCAATACATTTGCTCAGTGCATTTTGTAATATTACTCTTCTTAACCTTAGCACTAATTTATGAAGTTATTTCCGTCACATACAACATGGTTTATTATGAAGCTAATTAGGAATTAGGCAAGTAGCACATGGTGGGTGTTGGTTTCAAATTTCAATTGTTGACCTCTTTCCTGTCTCTTTATTTTCTCCTTTTCTTATATACAGGCATGGCTTACATATTTTTGGAGTAGAGCCAAATGTCTTGGTATTGAGGAGGACACTGCCAAGTCACGACTTCAATTTTGGATTAGCCGTAGCACACATTCACCAACTTCACATGATGCTGTTGATGGTACACAACCAACCTCAATCACAGGACTGTCTTAACCTCAAATCAGAATTTTATAACCACAAGGGTGGTGCCTGATTGGTTTGAGCTTGGCTTCAAAGGTCAAAAATACCAAGAGGTCTCAGGTTCAAATCCAAGGAGGAATAAAAATCCCCTTGTGGCCACGGAGGTTCAAATGCAGTGACTCCGGGCTATCTGCAAAGCAGGTGGTCGCCCCGGGATTAGTCGGCTCGCATAACGGGTTGGATATCCAGGTTAATAAAAAAAATCAGAATTTTATTAATAGCATATAACCTTGTGACAAGTTTAATGGCATTCTTGTAAATGGAGGTGACATTCCAACACTTGTCACAAGGTCATGGATTTAAAAGAAAATTGTGAGGTCAAGGGAAAAATGTGAAGATAAGATATGCATATCCATGCTCTTCATAGAGACCATGGTCCTGAAGATGGAAGCGGTTTCTGTATGAGTGAAGGAATAGCTAAAATTTGGTTACATCAACCTTCTGAGTTTGTGTTTGTTAACTGGAATTTAATAAAGTGTCATATTGATTTATGTAATGCTTATTTTGCAGTTAACAAAAACGTTATGACCATTGGACTTGATAGCTCTTCCTGATCACAAGTCTGATATGTACGTTTTATTATTGAATCCTGAATAACCAATAGTTGACAAGTATTATATACTTAATAGTATGAAGTAACTGTGATGTTTTGGAGTTGATTTAAGTTGATGATGTGGAATTGGTGGGTGGGTTTGTACTCTTTACTTTCTAACCTTCAAGCATTGCAATCCAATCAAGACGTGGAAAACATCACCTGTCCAGTACCCCCCACCCCGGGATCCAATTTGGATTTCAGTTGTGATTACAAGTACACAAGTGTAAGATTTTTTAGATGTTGCTATTTAACCTTTTAGGTCTTTCTATTCAAATAATTAAAAATATGGATTTTTATTTTTTATGTTTGTAGCCAGATTCATTTAGAATCAACAGAAAGCACTTCGTGTTGTAATTTCTGCATACAAATATAATCATGGTTAATTGTAGGGATATGCTTTTATATTTGTTTTTGGGAATCATCAAGTGGAATCAAGAATACAAAGGGGTCACGTTAGCAGTAAAGGCGGCGTGGCCCTGTTTTTGCTACATGGGTTACTGAGATTGATGAGATTAACATCAACCATGTTTTCCTGAAACTACAACAGGAGGTTCAACCTGCATCTTCAAGCAATTGAACTCCAAGGCCAATATTGGTTTAGAAAGCATAACTGCTGTGCCCACGTCTCTTTTTGTTGAAGATTCCTCGTTTTGGGATTCAGAGGAATGTTTCCTGTCCAATAGCCATAAAACTCTAGCTGGAGATGTAGGTTTCACCCTGCCCATTGCAGTAAAACACACGTAAATATTGACGTATAGATATATGCAAACTGGCAAAGGTTGAAAGATGAGAAACCTGCACTCAATCTGGCAAGAGTACTTGAGAAGCTGGGGTTTATGCTCTGTATGGCCACTGGCAACAACAAATACATTGTTTTCAGTTTTCTTAGGTTGAATAAAACCCAACATAGCCACAAGTTTTACCTAAAGCTTGGAAGTGACATCGTAATCCCCATCCCCATCCCCATCCATTTCAATGGATTCATCTTCAAAACTGTAATATGATGCTATTAGTATTTATTACTTGGACAACAGAAAACCTTGTTGAAGATATGAAGACGTCACATACCAGGGATATCATAGAGGCCAATTGCCACAGGACCATTGATCTCAGCAAAACGAATATCCATGTTACCAACATCAGCATTACTTCTTCTCCTTGGTGTACTTTGCTTAAACACACAAGTACCATGATGTTAAAGTTTTAATATATATATATATATATATATATATTTCATAAATAAAATATTATTGATGTGACAGCTGAAGAGACATGATAAACAAATCATTTGTGAGCCCACCTTTGAAAACGTGGCAACTTGACTTGGAAGTCCGAATTCCTGAAAAGGATGATCAACAATAAGGCTGGAACGCCAAACTCCTATAAAATTACGACAGTGAAGCAATTTTTTTAATCTCTCTTCTTCCCAGAACTTGTTTCCAACATTGTCGGAATGTATTAGAGAAATATGCGACTTGGCTCCAATATACAAGTTGAGAGCTACTATGATGAAAAAAGGTCATTCATGAGAATTGCTCCTTTTTATTTCAATCACTAATGAAAATCGAATATACACTGCATTTGGATCCTACAGTTTGAGTACCTTTCTTCCATGCCTGCATGCCTCATCACTGTTGACATAAACCCTAGCTGCCCAACTTTAAGGAATCGTATGAAGGAAAAATTAGTATAACATCGAAATTGTACGATTCAAAGTATTTTTTATACCCCATAATTATGATAATTACCGGGATTATATGTGTGTGTGTATATATATAAATTATGTTTATGATAATATATATATATATATATATATATATATATATATATACACCGAGATAAATACAAAACCTTATTTGAATTATAGTAAATCTATAATTCATGAAATCCACTATAAATAAGGTGATGGGCCTAAGTCTAAAAGAATAACCAATCTTTTAGATTTATTAAAGATCGGTAAAAAATAGAAAAAGGAACTTTTTCTTTATTTTGTATAAAYGCATATTACATTAGGGTTTTGGGCTAGCACCCGGTAGAGGCCAAGGCGTGTTCGTGTATGGATCTCCGATAGAGGAAATCTGATTTGATTTCTAAATGCTTCGTCARAACCTACATCAKATCTCAAAAGGTATTCTTTAAAACACCCCATGGTTTGTTTTAGATTTGTTTTAAATGTCATTGGATCCGGCTTAGGATTTCTTCCCGGAAAAGTTTTTCCAAATAACGTAGCCTAAAATTATTTTGCCTTGCGTTTAAACGGGTTTAAAAAATTATTTAAAACCCTACAATAGTATTTATATATGTAGCTTGATAAGTGCTAGTCATATGAATCAGAAAGCCAAAAGATGAGTTGTAGTTGTTGTGGACCAACTTTAGGGAATCGAGTTTGAAGTTAAAGCACTTCACTCGATGACAGAAAAGCGGTTTAACTCATAGTCATGGTATGTTATCATGTAGATTTATGCTATTGTTTTCCTAGACATCTCCTTACCTAAATATGACATCAAAATCACAGGAGTAAGTGGTGCTTAAGCAATGTTGGCTTGTACACTACTGGGGTTTTAGCGGTGCGACATGGTAGGTCAAAACAACACAACTCTTTCGGTCGTTGAATTTACTTCTCCATTTTTTTAAAATTTTGTTTCACTTTAGGTAACTTAAGTTGTTCATTTTATCCCCAATTTTGATTGACGGTTCAAATCATAATAAATGAACTCTCATCATTTCCATAAATATCTCAATTGATTGGGTTGTATTGGTTGTACAAATGTGAGAGGTTGAATCGATCATCAGAAGAAGAATTAGGCCAAAAATTAGGATACATTATGGGAAAATCAAACTTCCATCGAAGAGAAGCAAATAAAAGGCTTTCATAAAAATTCTCGTAGAATTATATATATATATATATATATATATATATATATCACACACATGGACACAAAAAAGTGAAAGTTCATCAGGAGGTTAAAAATCATGTTTTAAGTTTTGAAGTGTTCCATGTTTCATATAGTTGGTAAACTTGATACCATAATAGTTTTGTGGCCCTATCTCCATCAAATTTAAGTGTATAGTTTGAGTTATCTATTGACCTTGGGTGTCCTAGCTTAAATGTTCCTGCTACTTTATTTAACCGATAACACATGGTAAACACAATATAAATATATAGTACAGTATATCCACAAAAATATAAATATTATTTGAAGAGAAGCTAAGACACATTACGCAAGATGGTTTCATCACAGCTCTCATGTATACCTACGGAATCACAAGTTAAATAGAAGACTAATAAGGAATTGTTAGGAGTGGATGTCAACCAAGAAAAAAATTTAAGGAGAAGGAATAAAAGATTAGAGTGAAGACTGGATATGAAATGAGTTAGCCTTAGAGACTAGGGAGCCTTGTGGGTTCATCTCTTCATAATTTATACTGGGGTTTTACCTAAATTACTTCAAGATAAAAAGTTTGTAGTTCTTGGAATGTCATTATCTTAAGGACAAAATGCAGCGAAGTTTCCCTTAGTTCCTATTTAGTGTAACAAAGAAAAATTATCAATCAATGTATCGAAGTTACAAATTTTCCTACTTAATGTAATAAAATTTCTTATTTTCCTATTTAAATTTTTACTTATTTTTAACCGATAACCTATTGATCTTGTAACATTTGCTGACGTGGATGTCCATTTATCATCCGCTATAAACCTTTCATAAACCTTCCACAAACGCATACCCATGTGATCAAATGTTACAAAATCAGCAACCGGTCATAATGGGTACAAAATAGAAAATTTTGAAACTTTGTTACAAAATAAAATTCTTTGTTACAAAAATAGGAACTATACCATACTTTGTTGTGTTTTAATGCATTTTTCCCTTATCTTAATTGGTCCTAGACAAGACCTAATTGGTGTAATCTTGAGTGGAAAAAGTACGTACATGAATTAAAAGTAATTAACAATACACCAGATGCATAGGAGAGTCAATAAGCATATGAACGCTTGATTAAGAAAGCTATGAAGAATGAAATCAACTTGTATTATGCTATCACTAGATA